TCTCTCTCTCTCTCTCTCTCTCTCTCTCTCTCTCACACACACACACACACACACACACACACACACACACACACACACACACACACACACCCCCTACCTCTCGGGGTCCAGCCCATTCTCTGCCAAAGGGAGGCAGGGCCTCTGCATTTGACAAAGACAGCTCTGTTTCCTCAGACCTGACAGCTCAGTCCCATGACCTGTCCCCGCTGACACACTCCCTCATGGGGCCCAGCCTCCTCCAACCCACATCCGGGTTCCCACCAGCAAGGCAGCCACAGCCTGAGCCACAATGCCCCAAGCTTCTGGAAGCCAGGCACACAGAAAGAGCTCCTTCCAATGTCCAAGCAAAGAAACTCTTTCCCTGCGTCTGCACTGGGGAGCTTTTTAAGGGGCACACACCTCTCAGGCACCATCCATCCAGTCCAGGCTGTGTACTTTTGTCCTGTCCTTGGGTATCAGGACCAAAAATCATCCTTCATTTCTTTAGAGTCAGCATTTCTTTGTTTGGCATCCTCATCACTACCTATTAGTTTGTGACTTTTCAGTTTCCACATCTCCCCAGAAGCATACAAACCCTTGCATGCACGCACTCAGCACCCACTCTCTTTCTACATAACCCTCTGGACATCTCTTCCCAGAAGACCATGCATCTCAGTAAGGACCAGCCCAAAAAGCTCTGTCGGCTTCAAGTCCCCTCTACCTACTGGGGCCTTAACGCCCTGAGTTTCATCCATCTTCTCTCAAATTCTTAATTCCCCAGGGTCCTCAGAGGCTGGGAGAGAAAATACTCCAAGGCGTGGAAACACAAAAATGCCTGAGCCCTGGGTGGGATTCGAGCTCCTCATCTCTTCTTCCACCCCAAGACAGTTTGTTGCTTTCGGAGGACAGGACAGCTTATTAGGAAAACCACCACCCTAACCCCTGCTCATTTATCCCACTGATATCTGCTTTCCAAGTACCTCCTACTTCCCTCTTCCAAGCCCCCAAACCACTCACAACTGGTAACCTTCTATGAAGAAATGAAATCACTGTCTGTATCCTCCAATGGAATAGTATAGAAGATCACACTTAACTTTTGCCAAGATTGGAACAGTTGTTAGAGTTCCCCTCCCACCTGCCCCATGCCAACAGTGTCTGAATTGCTTTGAAATACCATCTGGGAGAAATCACCACAAAATATTTAAGGTTCCAATTCATTAAAAAAAAAAATCAAAGAAAGAAAACACACACATATATGCACCTTACCTGTGATTTGGCATATCTTTGGGAGATGGGGTTACCCGGAAAAGCATTCCTAAATGCCACAAAATGCTCTTGTTGGTTCCATCTCATTCCTTCCCCAAGAGTATTCTAACTTTTTCTGCATAGGTATCAGTAAGAAAGGAAAAGAACAATGCAACATGGCAATGGTCCTCTAATAGGACCTCGGGGGAGATGGTCCATGCTCACAGCTTTTTCAGTGGCACAAAGAGGCTAGCCAAAGATTCATCTGAAGCAAAGTCCCACTTTTGGGGTGTGATTCCACATGTCTCAGAGCCCCACACCCTATGCAGAACTGGACGGTGACTTGGACCTAGAGGCCGTGACCAGGGGCACTGGTTCCTCCCTGGCCTGGTCTGCATCTTGTGAACGGTACATACCTCAGAAGGTTAAAGCTCAGATCGAGCCTCTTTGCGAAATGTCCACAGTCCCTGCCAAGGTGCTCTGGAATTTCTCTGCAGTCCTGGCCTATGTAGGACACCTGGAAATTAAAGGGAACAGAAACAATGTGGCAAACGGAAATCGCCCAGCTGCTCCCAACCGGGAGTCATTGATCTAAAGATTGCTTCCGCAACTTTAAATGCACGCACTCCTCACACACAAAAAAGGCCACATTTGTGACTGTTTTCCTGATCAAATCAGCTTTGGGGGCTTCAAGGACTCTGCCAACAGCTCCCCTTTCCTGGTACACTTAGCATGATGGAGACTAATCCCAGCACAATGGAAATTGGACTAAAATTGGCCAGATTCAGGTGTCCAGAAAAGCCCCCATGTCAGAGCACACCGATATAATCACAGCAATCAGCCTCTCGCTCAGGGGCCTTCCCAACAGCTGCCCTTCTGGCTCTCCGCCTCCCTCTCCTCCCCTGTCGCCCCCACCAGCCGCCCAAATACCCTGTTATGCACATTACCTCATAAAAGACACAGCAGATGCACTTACCAGCATTCCACCTGCAGGGTGCTGGAAAAAAATAGGGTTGGACAAGAAAACCTCCCCAGACCGCCAATCCCATCCTATTACCACTTCGTATAAAATGTCCCCCACTCTGTACGAAGCGGATTTGAAGGCGACAGGGAAACGAAAGGTGGCCACAGCTTCCAAGTCTCTCTTCTCCAGGGAGCCTTTTGCAACCAACCCTACTCGGGTTGCAGAGCTCTTCCCTTAGGCCTTCTTTTACTTATTTTATCATTATTAACAATCTAGTGTGTGCCCAAATATTAAGAAGCTGAATTGTAATTTGATGCCACAATTTGACTGTAGGAAGGTCAGAGGGCTTCCTCACAGCTCCAACTACTCAATCTTTGAAAACCATTTTTTACAGACAGTTGCCAATTCAACCACAGGGCACAAATTCCAAAATCCATAAAACAAACCCATGGGTGAGAGTTGGCTAGTGGATCAAAACATAGGATACTTCCGTAAAGGACTCCCTACCCCTGACGGCCAGGTAGAAATTCAGGCCTATTACATGCCTACAGTCTTGATCCTTTCTCCCCACAAATGCATATCCTCCTACACGTAAGGTAAGAATGTCTTGGAATAAGTAAGAGACTCCCCAGGGGGTTATGCTTCCTAATGGGGAACAAGAATATGGTGGCCATATAGAACTCTAGATATTAGGTTGAACATTATGACTAATACTCAATCCTAGAACTACAGAAATAGCACCTTCATAGGACTCCGCCTAATAAAAATCACACTGCACCCTAATACGCTCAATTTTCAAGTCTACTCTCCGTCCTATCCAGTGGGGTCAAACTGCTGACAGTACAGGATCCTGTACTCACTCCTTTAGTAACTTCATTTCTGGAGGACGGGGGCGGGGAGAAAGGACAGAAAAATAGCTGATTCTGATAAGATAATTTGGACTCAGGAAGACACAGGCTAAAAAATAAAGGTCTCAAAGTTCAATCTAGCAACCTCCCTTTTCTACATGGGACCAGCTGTTCCTCAGAACTCCTTGTGTAATAAACTTCTGCTTCCAAGCAGAGATGGAAATCATATAGCAAGAAAAGACTGGGGATATAAGGTCCCAATCAATCTACAGACTTCAATTTCCCTCAGGATGCCCACTTGATCAGCAGCAGTTTCTGTATTAGAATACCACATTGACCCTGCAGGCCCACGGAAATCACCAGAAAACCCATCCCTTTTACCCCATCATGCACCCCCATCTTATAGATATCATTATTCAAGATCTCCATGGTGTATACAGCATAGAGGCTGAGGTTTAGATGCGGAAACTGAGCTCTGTCCTTATAGACTCAACCAAGGACTCAATCTTGTAGGGACCCAGTTTCTCAAAACCCGTCATGTTTTTACAAAGAAACTAAGACTTCAGCAGCATATCCAGGGTAATACAGCTTCTTAATGATAAAGCCCTGCACCAGGAATAGGAACTTCCAATTTGGGAGCCATGGAGTTCTTACAAATCCACACGTGGATGTAGATTTTCTGGATCAATAAACACCAGTGGTACATCTATCATCATGTTTTGGCTTCAAAAATGCGTCTTCCTAGCTGAAAGGTCGTGAACTACCTCATGATAGGATATTGAGAGCCCCAGAGGAGCATCAGAACCTGGGGAAAGAGAGGGAGATTTGCTCCCCTCCTTCTTCTGTAGGATCCCCTTTCAAGTGGCAAAAGGAGCACCAAGAAAGCTATCACCATGAAGCATGCAGACCATTTACATGCCTAAGAAGACTTTTATCAGCTTGTTTTATTACAACAGCTTACCCCAACATCCCAGGAAAACTAAAGCACAATTTGTTCTGCAGTGAAGACCAGGTCTCACAAATTTAGTATGAAAACCAACTTGATAAGCCATCCGCATGCTTGGACACCTCACCCCCACCAACCCCCATGCTAAACTGGGAGTATTTAGAGATGTGAGTTAAGCTAACCACATTTAAGGGTCCAAATCTGAGGGACAAGGCTTAAAAGCAGCAAGCAGCCACCACCAGGCACTGCAACCAACTCATAACGAGACGAAAGTCATGTTTAGGAAGTGCTCCTGAGTGGAAGACATTACCTCTCAGGATGTCAGGAAGCTTCTTGGAGCATAGGCCCAACCTCATGTAACAAGCCAGAAGAGCCAGACCAAAAACAGTTTGCTACATGAGCAAATAAGGGAAATGGAGATTAACAGACCCTAAAGGCCACAGAAGCAAAAGCACATCCAGAACAAGTCATTGTGTTGAGTCAATTACTTTTAGACTGAAGAGCCAAGTTTCGTACTTTTCATTTGCCTACCTTATAGCACCAGTATCCCAAGACTTCTACCCCCCGTGTGGAACGGTAACAGAAAGGGACACTACTACCAGGGAAATGAAAACATATGAAGATCCTCCCCCTGCACCCCTCACCAAAGAGGGGTACGAAAGAGGAAAACAAGAAGGTCTGTGCAAAATTCCCACACATACACACAGCCAGCCCCTCTGAGCAGAGGCCACAGGGAATTACCAACCTGATCAGAAGACTACAGATTTCTCTTTGCAGTTGAGACAGGCCCTCTGGACATTTCTGAGGACAGATTTGTTAGTAGACTGTGTGTAGAGATGATTATTTTCTGATGCCTGACCCCAACCAGCGGGGGTGGAAGATCCTTGATTTTAAATCTGTACTGAAAGCTCTGTCAGAATAGAAACAGTCCCCGTGCTGCTACTTACTGGCTGTGTTATCCTGGATGGGTCACAATCTCAGTTTGTCTCCTCTTCTGTAAACTAGTCTAACACTAACCGCATCCAAAAGGTATGACGAATAAGGGAACCAACATTTATTAAAGCCTACCACCTGGCTGTTACCTAGTCAATCTTCATGAAATAGCCCAGTGAGTCATAGATCCCCAGCTTACAGCAATGAGAAGATAACATACAGTACACAGCCCTGTCCTCAGCACCTAGTGGCCACTCAGTAAATATTTGAATCAGACCAATATCCCTAAGAAAGGGATTGGTTATTCCCATGTCTCTTGGCACGAGATTTCAGTGCCCGAATTCCAAGTCTGCATTCGTATCTACAATTATATCGATGCCACTATTTGGTCATCAACTAGTGGAAAAAGAAGATTGAGGACTTAATGCTGATGTAAATGATGCATTCAAGCCAAGAGAAGGCCAAATGAAGTCAGATTCATGTTGAATAAAAAGATTTTACAGAAGAGAGTGGAGGGAGGGCTGATATAGGCCAGTGGAACTCCTAAAACCCAGGGCAAGAGCAGTCAGTCCGAGATGGTGTTGAAAGCAGTGACCTAATTTCAACATCATCCATCTCATTCAATTGTTTTAGTGGTGGTATGGTCTTTTGGTTTTTTTGTTGGTTGTGTGTGCGCGCGCGCACTTAAGCCATCTCTTTAGTTGGGGGATAGGTCTCTGTGAACTTCGAAAAAGTTATATCTGGTTTTATGTTTGTACATTTAAGCAACATTGCAAAAGAAACAGTATAAATACTATGGGCTCATCAGAAGGCGTTTTTTTCCTCTTTAAGAAGCCTCTACCAAAATTTGAGAAGTACCATGTGACACACATTCCAAGAACTACTACTTCTTACGGCTGTCATTAGAAACTAAAAGAGGCAGAATACTTAAAAAAAAAAAAAAAAAAAATACCCTAAACCCCAGGGCTGCCACTCAGATCCACTGGCCTAGGAGGTTCAGGACCTGGGGGACTAACACCCCAGGAGCATTTTCTCAGCCTGTCTTCTCAGCTCCTCCCCGAGCAGCTCCATCTGCTTAAAACAGCCCCCTAATCCTCAAAATGCCTCACCAACAGGTTAATGATTGCCTTTGAGCCCTTTGGAGTAGGCTAAAAGCAGGGGGTGCAGGACAATAATCAAGTTAGGGAAACAGGGGAAAAGGAGGCACAAGAAAGTTCTTAGCCCTACTGTTAAGTGCTCCACGAAGTTGGAAGAAGCTACACCCAAAGAATGCTGGGTCTGAAATGCAGAGACCTAGGGTCAGGGGGGAACAGGACATTCTTGGCAGAGGCCCCCTCCTCCACTTCCTCTAGGCAAGCATGTTAACTCCCAAAAGCCCCTTTCCCAACCATCTAAATAAGACCCATCATTTTTTTTTTTTTTTTAAAGATTTATCTGACAGAGAAAGACACAGCGAGAGAGGGACCACAAGCAGGGGGAGTGGGAGAGGGAGAAGCAGGTCTCCCGCCGAGCAGGGAGCCCGATGAGGGGCTCGATCCATGACCCGAGCCGAAGGCAGACGCCCAATGACTGAGCCACCCAGGCGCCCCAAGACCCATCATTTTTAACCTTTCCCATAGGCTGGTACCTCCCTGGCCTGCTCACTTCTGAACTCGGAGAAGGTGGAAACATTTGCCCAGAGTAATCTCAAAACTCTAACTGTGCCTGACACTACCTGCCTTAGGCAATCCAAGGGGTGAGCTTCAAAACCTCAGAACTATTTCTCTAGGGCATGCAAAGGAAAGGCGGGAGGAGGGCTGGCTTAATCAGAGGTTCAAAGGAGAGACCTGGCTTTTCCAGAAGGTAAGAGGCCCCGGGGCCCAGCATCCCTCCAGCAATGACTGAGAACACCTGAGGCTCCACTACAGAGCTGAAAGCAAGTGAGGCTAGGTGTCTGTCACCCAGAGTTGAAACTGGAATGTTGCCGTTCCTCACAGACACCAGTTCAAGAAGTCATGTGCCAAATGAGCTCTTGCCATTTGCGACAACATGGAGGGACCTAGAGGGTATCATGCTAGGTGTTAACAAGTCAGAGAAAGACAAATACCATATGATTTCACTTACATGTGGAATCTAAAAAACGAACAAAAAACAAAAACGGACTCAAATACAAGAGAACAAATTGGTGGTTGCCAGAGGGAAGGAGGGTGGGAGGATAGGCAAAATAGGTGAAGGGTACTAAGAGGTACAAACGGTTATAAAATAAGTCCTGGGGGTGAGGAGCACAGCATTGGGCAGGCATATAGTAATAACGTTACATGGTGACAGATGCTAACTACCCTTGTGGTGAGCCAAGTATAATGTATAGAATTGTCGAATCACTACGTTGCACACCTGAAACTAATATAACATTGTATGTCAACCATATAATAAACTAAAAAGGGAAATCAGATGCCGAAATAAAAGTAGGGGGACTTTAGCCTTCTACCTGTCTTGAATAAGGGGCCTTGGTTTAGGTTCCAGAGGCAGTCTGCAGTGTGGCCCCCAAACCTAGAGCCTGCAGGAATGCATTATGATTTTCATGGTCTTTAGTGGGACCTCGGCACTTTTGCCATCCTGGGGTCCTTAAAAAATAAATAAACCACAGACACACACCCCTAGTGTCTATATGTTACAACTTCATTAGTATAAAGATGAATATATTAAACTGTTTTCTTTAACCAAAGTTATTTTTCTTCTGATTATGACATTACACATGAGTCCCAAAAAGTACCATCAGCTGTGGGCATGGTCCACTCTGCCTGATGGAGAAATTGGCGCTGCTGGCCTTAGCAGTGAGCACTAGGGACAGAGGAGGTGGGAGGGGACCTGGTCGTCCTAGCGGGCCTTCCCCTCTTCTCCCACAGCCGGGGGCGGGGGGGGGGGGAGGGATGCCAGGCCCCAAAGGGGACCTGTCCTTACCAAGTTAGGGCAGGCCTGGGCACCTGAAAGTGTCGCCAGCTGGAGACGCAGCCCCCCTGAGTGGGGCGAGGCGCCCTTTCTAACCTCGGGGTGGCCCCTTGCTCCAGCACTCCCTCCCCACACCGACAGCGAGGGCGGGGTTCGTCCTGGCGGACTTACTTGAGTTCCACTGACCACGAGCCCGGCCATGACGACTGGGCGGACGCGCGGCGCGGAGCACCGAGGGCAGGCGCGGAGCACCGAGAGCCGAGCACTGAGCGCAGAGCGCGGCGGCGGCTGGCAGCACGGCGGGGCGCGCAGTTCCGCACTTAAGTAGTCAGCTGACCCGGCGGAAGCCCGAGGCGCGGGCCGGGTGCTGGGACTTGGGCTCAGCTGCGCCCGCCGCTTGCTCTCGGCGGGCCCTCGAGCGGGTGAGCCTAGGCACGCCCCCCGCCACGCGCCGCCACAGGTGGCCCCCAGCGTCCCGGAATGGCCTGACCCCTTGACTTCCGCCATGGCCCCCGGGCGCCCCAGGATCTCATCGCCCCCTGAGGCGCCAGGGGACCGGGAATAGCATCCCCCCAAAACTCCACGCCCAGAACTCTACTGCGTTAGTCGGGGGCGGGCTAGGGGGAGCAGGGCTTCGCATGAGGGGGGCCCCATCTGAGTCGTTATTTAGCGGGGGACATGGAGGGCGGGCCTTTCCCATATTTCACAATCCAGATTTCATAACTGTCCTCAACTGCAGGGAGGAGGGGCCTTGGCCTGAACTCCCCTCCCCAACTTTGAGGGGAAAATGGAGCGGTTGAAAGGACACCTGGTGGGGCGGAGTTTCCATTTGTAGTGGGAGGAAGAGGGAATTGAATTTCCTTATAAATAAAATGCCGGCTCAGCTAAAAACACCCCCAGCTGACAGTAATAAACCCTCGAGAAGAAAAATCTATGATGTCCCCAAATTTCAGGTTTCTCTTATTCTCTCCCTCTTATTTGTGAAGCTCAAAGTCATCCATGCGGTCAAATTCCACCCCCAGTCCCCCCTACCCCCCCCCTACACACACACACCCCTTCCCCTCAGCTGGAAGAGAAAGGTGGCCTTTACTGCCTCCTCCATCAGGCCTCCTCCATCTGGCTGGGTGGGCAGCTCATGCCTCTCCTCAACTGAAAAAAAAACAAATTTTCTCCCTGTGAAGTTTTGCCTTTATGCCTCCATCCCCAGGATGCAGGAAGCTATTACCACATACCACTTCGTTGTCACATTATCACCAGTCCTCTCTTGCAGCTAAGAGCCAGCCGGGCCTTAACTGGCCTCTCCCCTGCTCCCTCGGTACCAGTGAGTAAAGAAGCTACCATTCAGAGAAGGGATCCTTGAGTGCCAGACTCCAGGTCCCACGCAGTGCACTACAGTTACCTCAACTCAGAAGACCTACTGATAAATGGTAGCTCCCACCTCTGTTGAGGGGGTGTTCCCAGGGCTTTTGTTTTCATTGTTCCCTGTGTCTAAACAGCCCTTAGAAACCCCTGTTTGTGCAGCTGATGATAATTATGATCGTGGTTAAGCATACTGTGGCTCTCATCATTGTCTCTCAGGCCTGGTGCCAACACATTGTAATGCGGGCCCTCCTTGTCAGCATTCAGATGAGCAGTGTTGACCTCTGAGGGCTGACCCGCCTGCCCCTCTCTCTGCTGGGAGGAGCGGACATAGCAGAGTGGAGCTGTAAGAACAGAGACTTGGCTGTGTTTACTTTGGGGGGTTTCAGGAAATGCTGCAACAAAAGGTCCTACAGGCCAAAAAAGAAGGCTTGCCCTCCAGAGATAAGGGGGATCAAAGGGAATCTTCGAAGGCCTACTGCCCCACAGACCAGCTCCTCATGCTCCTCTCTCCTTCTCTGCTGGATGCAGCCTCTCTGGTCCATTGTCCACTTTTGTTTGCCTTTCCTGCCCAAAAAGGAGGAAGTGGGCCCAGGCCCTGACAGTCGTGATACACTGCCCTCTCCACCTTTCACCTGGTCTTCCTAGAAGGGCTCTGACTGGCAGGAGAGGACATGAGGAAACAGGCTTAAACCTACTCACAGATGGAATCGGAATGTATACACTCCCACCCCAGCAGGAGGGTGCTTGAGGTCATCTCATCCATGGCCCTACATCCATACACAGCTATGTCTTCTGAGCATAGACTGTTCTGTGGACACTATCTGCCAATGCTGCCAAAGTAGGCAGGGATCTTTTCTACCTTTCCAGGCCTCCCTCACAATTTTTCCTTCCTCTACACGACTCTAGGGTAATCATTCTAAAAGCCTGATTTGACCCTACGTGAAATCTTTCAATGCTCCCAATCAACTAATAACACAGTCCAAAAGTCCAAAATCTCCAATACATCCCTCGAGATCTTTTAGAATCCCATCATCCCCTACCTCTCCCACCGCCTCTCCCACTCCTCCCCTCCTCTGCCGGCTTTTAGCTGTTTTGCCTCCTCACCCACTCTTGTCTCCACCAGGTGAACACATCCAGGAGGCTAGTTGACTGCAAGGGACAGAGAATTGGGGAAATCACAAAAAATAAGGATAGCTCAGATTGACATGGGCTTTAGTGTTTGAAATGGAAGCTGATAACAATACGGATACAATAACAATAACAAGAACTGAAAGTTCTTGCGCAGAGTAGAAATTTGTTGAATTTAACGGGGGAGGGCTCCTCTAAAACCAGACTGGATTCACCTCTCCTATTCCCTTCAGCTTTGGAAGTTATCTTCAGAAGAGAAGAACAAGAAGGAGGGAGAAGAGAAGGGAAGGAGGGGAAAAGAGGAGAAGAAGAATCTATCTCTGGACCAAGGAAAATCGGAAGGGGGGTGGAGGACATCCTTCTACCTCCTCATCACTTTTCTTGAGCAAAAAGGACAATTAAATTTAAATAGCAAAGTAAAGTTCTTCGGGTCATATGGCCCTCCCTTTGGAAGGGAGAGAGCAAAGGAACGCTCAGATGAGGCTGGACCAGGAGGTGAACAAATGATTCCTTTGGAACGCAGGGAGTTGACAAGAGTGAACAGAGGAGACAAATCTTGTTGGGGCTTCATCTTGAACACAGCTCTTTCTGCCTCAGCCCCAGAAGCACGGAGGGGAAGAAAAGGCTCACGCAGTCATCCAGATTCTTCTTCAGTTCCCTCCCGCCATTCTAGTGGGCAATTGAGAGTGAGCTGCAGGGGACCCTGCCTCACCCCATTTTATCCCACAGCTCCTCTGCCCCAACTTCTGAGGACCAGGCACTGTGCTAGGCACTCCGGGTATACATAACTAAGACATACACTTCAGGAAAGAGTTGTGATCAGACATTTGCAGTACTATGTCGACAAGAAGCCCTGTGATTGTGATCCTATTTCCTGTGCCCAAAGCTGAGACAGGTAGCCCCATTTGTATAGTATACTCATGAGTACTACAGAACAGAAAGTTCACATCAGACCTGGACAGCTAATCCTGAGCCTATGAATTCTGGAGCTCTAACACTTGCAAATGGGGAGTAAAAATGTTCAACACTTACCACTAGACATTTCCTTATCACCCTTGATGAAGAGGGCAATATTTTATTCCTACTGTCATCTTTGTTATTATTATTCTTTGGCAGAAAAGGCCCTTTCCCCTAGAGTTCTTCCTCCATCGCATTCCTGTGGACAAAAAGGAAAATCCTGTTTATTTGCAATCAAGGGAGTTGATTCTGGGGTCGACCAGAACCAGTGAAACAGGAACTGATTCCTTAAAATCCTCCAACTCTGTGCATCATCAGCTGAGAGGACAGGGCCAGTTAACAAAGTTTTATTAGCATTCCTACCTATCCTTTGTCGAATTTCTATTCAGCCCGGCCTCATTTCTTTCAGGCCCAACCCCTGGGTAGGTTAAGATGATTGCTGTAATTAATCATGCCCCAGCCCCTAGTTCAGACTCACCACATTCAGATTTCAATTAAAACAAAAAAATCTGGGTGTCTGCATACAAAATGCTCTTTTTTGCTGAAGGAGCCTCCTTTCAGTCTAAAGGAGGGAGTTTAGGAAAGAGGAAAGGTTTCCAGGGCCCTCTCTGTAATATTTGCACGTATGTGAAGGATTAAGGATGATCTAGGCTCCAAAACACCTCCCTGATCTCCCAACCAGAACAAATTACATTTTAAAATATATATATTAAGGGCAATCATACTGTTTGGCATGATTATTCATTACATAAATGTTAGTTTATTATTACTGTATACTATTATAATTATCATTACCATTAATTCTCCATGCCTCTGAGTTTCCTTCTCTTGGTATCTTAAAAGATACTGTGGTTGTTGTCTCTACTAAAATGCAAACATTAGCTGGGAGTGGGGAAGGGAGTAGGTTTGCCAAAGCTGAGTGGGAGAAAGGCTCCTGCTTTTCACTGCATATCTTCGGTGATTTTTGCAACCTGCATACCCTGCCTTTGTAATTAGAAGCTAATGGAGGAGATTGGATGGAAGGATCAGGAAAAGAGAATTTATAACTGGAACTGCTACCTGCTAATCTCTTAGCATTATTTTCACAAATCCTGAAAACAGCAATGAAAAACAAATCTTATTCCCCCATTGACCTGGAACTTGCTAGATGCCCCAAGTCTTTAGCTGGGCCCAGAAGGGAGGCTATCTCTGACTTGAGGACACGGGCTCGTAGTGGACTTTTGAGAAGGAAAGAGAACACTGACCAGAAGAACCTGTTCAACTTTATACTGTCCACTGGGGGAGAGGGAAGCAGTATCTAAGCCCCAGGTACTTTTCCAGAATCCCAACTTGGCTTGGAGAGGTTCTGCCCTTTAGAAGTTGAGGAACAACCCACCTCCGATTAAAATGTACAGTACTCAGCAAACGAGATTCTGATTCCACAGATGCAGCCCTAGCATGTATATTTTCTCAAGTACCTCCAGGTAATTTTGACTGTGACCATCCAGACTTACTGCTTTAGAAATCATTTACTCCAGCTACTGATTGAGGAAACTGAGGCCTAAGGCATGGAACAACTTGCCCAAGGCCACCCAGCCAATGAGCAGCTGACCCCAGGCCAGAACTCTGATCTTCTGAAGAAAATAAAACGGGATTCATCCTACATCCCAGGAAGAAGAGGGTGAAGAGACTGGGGAAGAGCGCCAGAAAGATGCCATTTCACATCTAATCACTTCTTGTCACGTTGTAACCATTTTCCTCATACGGAGCCCCACACTGATGGATCAGAAATAACATTTTCAAAGTTATATCTTCAAGGAAATGGCTATTAATGTTCTTCCTCTCCTTTTGGAGTGCTGAGGAATACATATTAATTTTCTCTCTACTTATATTGCCTATTTGCAAATTGTATTCACTACCCAGTGCTCCAATTTGTCCTACCCCGAAGAGATTATGATGAATAAATGTGTTCCTGG